TTGGCACTAAACAAATAAAGCTGAATTGAATATGTCGGGACCGGACACTGATATGAAGAAGAAAAAAAAAAAAAAACCTCTTTGTACTGTTTTTTGGCTGAGCTTTACTAACCTCCACCAAGGGCAGGCATCATGTTTTTACTGGTGTTTGTTCACTAACAGCTTAACTATAAAAAGTAATGAACGGATTTCGATGAGACATTTTGGAGAGTTAGATTGATTAGAGTTTGGTGCGGATCAATATCATAATTTGGATACAGGAAGTAAGTGACTGTAGTAGTAAGTCTGAAGTTGAAGTCCAAACTCCCGAGGATGGGAGGACAGTACTCATAATGTGCAGCTGGAACACCGGCGTCCTCACCAACAGACTACTCTGTTCTGAACGAGATCTAGCTGCCTGCTAATAGAGCTAGCTTGGTCAGATAATGAGCACTCACATCTCTGAAAATGTCGGAACAAATTTCTAAATTGGCATTACTTGGATAGACTGACCACATATTCTCCATCTAAGTGGTTACTTTGTCACCTGGAAAAATATCACAACTTAATAAAATGGCATAATACCAGTCAGGTGAAAATACTAAGAGCTATGAACCTGGGTCCAAGTCTCTGCCATCAGGCTCTGGCCCGATTGTCACTGCATAGAGTAGTAAAGCACATATGTAGTACAGCATGTATGTCACATCTGTCCAACTCAACACAACACCCTGATAACTACAGCGTCTCCAGAACCCACAGACAGCCAGCTACGTTGTCTCTGTACGGCATGTGTGAATGAGTACAGCAGAAGGCACGTTGGAAAACAGACTCTAAAGTGGACTTAGGTGTAGTTAAGCGGTGTGAGATGTGTGTGTCTATGAAGGACTGTTTGTACACACAGTTATTTCAGTCTGCATGGGACATTTATTTAGCTGTTTGTGGCCTTTAGTAATCGCTCGTCTGTCGATATCAGTGCCACTACAAATGCCAGCAGAAGGTTTTTACTGTCATGCAAACTATAATGAGAACGTTGCTTTTATGGCATTATGGGGAAAGTGAGTTGCCCTTCAGGGAGGTTTGCACTCTGAGTGCTGTCTACCTCACATCTGTTTTTCTTGTGTAATATTCTGTGTCTGTTAAATTTACTACATTTGGCATTAACACCAATACACTGAGGCAGCTGCACCCTCTGCTGTCAGAAAAAAATCTAATGTCAAACCTCTTATTCAGCTCTTGACATCCTTACTGACTGTAGTACTTCGACTGAAAATCATGAATGCGATACTTTTTCCTTGTATAAATTGTGGATGAAAACATCAAGTCTTCAGTATGTTACCCGGACAGTGTGGTCCTGGCTGCCGGTGACGACTCTCCCGGCGGCCGCTCGCAGTACTGTGATTGGCTTCTGGTGAGCGCACTGTACTGAGCGTATGAGCTGACAGCTGATTACATCCTCACTGCTGTAGCAGGGCGAAGGAGGCATGCTGCCTCGGCCAGGGGCACCTGCAGAGGAGGAGGATGTAAATCACTGGAATATTGATGATCACTTCATCTTTATGTAACTGTAATTAACAGTGTGATAAATGTGTGGTAAGAGATCTTTCGCTGCCAATAGGAGTCTAAGTCTGGTGTCATTGCATAATAGCTGAAACTGTTTATTTCTGCAAATCATTTTCTTGACAAAGTGATTCATTTTCTACATTTAAAATGTCAGAAGCAGAAAATTATCACTTTGGTTAAGTTGCATTCTGAGGATTTTTGGTGATTTTGCTTAAAAATTAAATGCTTTATAGATCAGTTACCAATTTTTTTAATCAGTGGTGACACAGGGATAGAACGTTAATAAGTTTGCGGTGCTTTTTGTGTTGAGGCCAGCTAGCTAGTTCATCAGAACAAAATAACAATGAAAACACCAGCTGAAAGAATATAAAGAAATGCATCTTTTTACTGGACAAAATAAGCACCAAAACACCTGTACTCACCTCTGTACTGCAGCAGACCCAGAGGTTTGTTTATCTCAACAGTGAAGAAATCTAAAGCCCCGTTCAGCCGAGCCGCTACGATTCTGAGGAGGAAACGAGAAACATCAGGATAAAATATAGTAAGGTTTGTCTTACATTACATACGTGATACTCTACAACACTGGTTCAAGTGAGAATGAGCTTGTCTATCTATATAGACCACAGTCACTTTCTAATCGAATTTTGAACATCCGCTTGAATGTGGTTAAAAAAATGTCTAACTGTAATGACCTGTTCAAATCCCAAAAATCTACTGTATGTCAATGTGCACAAGAGGCTGTTTGATGTAATTTAGCCCTGTGGTCCAGTGGAGGATGTTCTTAAAGTTCACTATCATCTTGACCAGTTACCAGGGGCAGATCTAGAACCTTTTAGGTGGGGTGGCCAGGCTAAGACATAGGCTCTCACATTATGTTATGTGGGTTGCATTTAAATTAATTAACGAGTCATGTATCAAAGATGAATTTTAGGAAAAGTGGCATCCCTAGTATCCGGTGGCTGTGGATCAGTGTAAGAATTCAGATTGTGCCACACTTCACCTAAAAATGTCACGTTTTATCTATATTCTATATGAAAGGCAAATTAATGCTTCAAAATATACTTAAATAAAACCTTAAAGAAGGGTGGGTATGGCACCAAAAAACAAAACGAGTCCTGTCTGAGTAGGGGCGCTTATCAGCCCAGGTGTGTTTCTGTGTGTAGGTTTGTGTGTTTCACCTGTTATTGAGGAAGGCCAGGGCTGTGATCCCAGTGACTCCATCCTCGTTACTGCAACGTAACGTCCCTTCCACTGCATCCCACAGCTGTAATGGAATGTAAGCGTAAAGTAAATTGTACTTATCGTATACTGTTGTTAGGCAGCCCTGTACTCATCTCAACATTTCACTAACCTTCACCTTCCATTTATAAAAAGACAAACAAAATATTGTGATACTGGCCCACAATGAGATTAAATGACTGTAAATGTGTTTTAATATTTATAGAGGTGCACACACTCAAAAATCCACTAACTTTCAAATTATTAAATCTATATCAAAATGTACAGTGCATCTTTTACACAAAATACTTTGTTAAAAAAAAGTGGTTATTATCATGACCTGAAAATAAATGTACTTTTCTATTTTTCACTCTCTGTAAAAACAAATAAATCCAGCTTGTGAATATAAGCAGCATCATGTTGAATTACTCATATGATGTAACACACCTCTAGTTTACCGCTGCTCCTTCCAGCAGCTATTAGATTCCCTCTCAGCTCCATGGACCAGACGGAGCTCTCCCAGTCTGCTGTCACCTGCATCCCTGCTGTGGAGGCCCTCTCTTGGGTTAAGGGGGCAGCTGCATCCCCTAGGCTGGGTCTCCTCTGCAGCTGAGCTCCTGAGGGCGGTGAGGAGGAGGCTGAGGAAGGTGAGGGGTAGGTGGAGGGTGAGGGGGGGTCGTGCTCCAAGTAAGCGCGCTCCACCAGGCCTCCAAAGTCAAACCCTTCTCTGAGTGGGGTGGAGACATGGGAGGGGGGCTGGGAGGTGAAGTTGGTGTCAATGAGCGGGGTAAGATCAGGCTGATCGGTGAACAGTGTCGGCCTGGCAGGGGTGGCACGATGCCTCAGTGGGTAGCCCTTGTCCTCTGAGAGGCCGTCGTCACTGATTGAGAGGTCATGACCTTCTGAGCCTAAACCTTCTGGCTCTGCGGCTCCACTCATGCTGTCCCAGCCGTCCCGCTGCTCCCAACAGCCACTGCTGCTGCTCCGTCTCAGCCTGAAACACAGAGCGCTCTGTTAGCTCTGCCTGATACTTAACCTTTTGCAAATATATTGTTAGTGGCATAGATGTCAGCCAAAACACTTGAGTACAGAAATACATGTACACTCTGGGGTCATTTAAACAACTTCAGAAAGCAAAGTGTCAGAAGAACTTTTATTTAATGTTTATGGTGACTGTCTCACCCCTGGCTTGGGATGACGGTCAGACAGTCCCCCGTCTGGGCATCCCAAACTCGGATCTGTCCTGCCAGACAACAGCTAGCCAGCAGCATCCCGTCACTCGCCAAACACTCAATGTCCTGGAAGACAAAACGACTTCAACAAAACTGAGACAAAAAAAAATAAATAAATAAGAGATCTAATTTCAACAATGTTTTTACTAACTCGAAACTATCAACCTAACCTATATTTCATGGCTGATGTGATTATTACCAGCACAAGGTGACTTTGACTCTTGAACCTCATACTACTGTTGGGGTACACCTTTCCTTCAACCACCCAAAACTATTTTCTATTCCTGTTCAAGTGTCTTTAATTAGCACAGTGAACTCCCATTTCTCTTGGTGCTCTTCCTAACTGACACTGTGAGGCAACCCATCTGGTGAAATGCACACACGTACTCTAAATGTGCAACAGAGCAATGAGAAATTGATCATTTTCATAATGTGTGTGTAGCATGGCAACTGAAATCATCAACTATGGCTCATTTAAGAGCAGGTGTCAGTGTTTTTCAGGTTCTTGTACCATCACATCTCTATTGAAGCTACCCAAAAAAAACAAACATAAATGTATGTTGACAGATCAGACTTTCACTGTCCCAGGTGTTTTTAACAGTCTAAATGACTTGTCAGCCTATTTCCCATGTGATGATGATGTTTTAATTTTGACCAATCTAATGGCTTGCTTTTTTCCCTGGTCATTTAGATGTATGGCTTCTGTATCGGACTCCACTCTCACCATACTGTGACCCCTCAGCAGCAGTGGTGAGATCTCGCTGACAGGAGGTGAGTAACCATAATCGTCGCAGGGCAGGTCACCTCGGCGCCGGCGACCATGAGTGACACCGTTCTGTCCGTAGTTACGTGGGCAGAGAACCCGGTATAGACAGAAGAGGAGCAGAACCAACAGGACACCTGCCGCCAGGCCCAGAGCTGCCACCCTGGATGGAGGTGGAACAAAGAAGGAGTCAAACAAAGAATGTTTTTTCTTGTATTCAGCTGTCTCCGCTTGTTTTCTGCCACATCACCAGGTTCAGTATTTGTACTGTTATACACATTCATAAAGTAGAACTGCACTTCTTGCAGTTCCTCTGCATCCAAAGTCTGACGTGACAGACAACAGAATTTCTACTCAGCTGCTTGCTGAGGAATGTGGCACAAGCGTGCTGCTGAAACCTGCCACAGGACTGTGACCGCCCCTGCAGCAAGATTAAAAAATACACAAGGAGGAACACTCTAGTGTTTGAGAGGCTGTTACTATAGTTACTTGAATAGGTTCTTGCTGATCTGTCCGTCTCCTTGCTTTGCTGCAAACTTTGATTAAACATCTGGTCGGTGTACTGTTTAGACATACCACAGTACACCGTGTCACCAAACCTCAAACATTCAGAAAAACTAGTGATCAACATCTTTTAAAGCCTTAAAGCTGTGTGTCTGCAGACGGGTTCATGGTGCCACACAACAGGAAATACAATGTACCAATGTACATTCATGCTGCAAAGTAAGCGAGGCAGGGGGGAAGACTGAAAAATGAAAATACCTGATGGGAAAGAAATATACAGTAGCACCGCAATTACAGATTATCTCTATTAATCGGCGCTGATTATTTTCACAATGAAGTGTTTGACATGATTCTTTGAGAAACAGTAGAAAAACTGTTCCTGTTTCCTATTAGATTTAAAGCCCGTTGTTTGATTGAGATGTTTAATTCATTGTCTCTCTCAGACCTCAGGGAAAGACTCTGCCCATTTCTTGACACAGGCTGGCACCTGGCAGAGCCCTGAACGTGAACATACAGAGAGCTACATACTGAAAATTCAAACCAACCTACATGCTAAAGCATTAAAAGGCTGGGACGATGCTAAATTTGCTCCACACAGGCAGTGATGCTGCATATTTGTTTAGGCTCAATAAATAACTGATAATATGGGCTCTCTTTTATTTGAAGTCATATACTGTAGTCATATATGATTAGATGAATATGAGTATTTGACTGTAAAAGAACATGAGACTTTCCTAAACTATTCAAGGCTCCATTAAAAAAAAAAAAACCTCTTTGTGTTGCAGGCTGCTCCGAATCTGGCTGTAACAGCATGTTTATCACACCAGCCTTGTTGCTCTCAGTGTCACAGTCAGAAAAACAAGCCATAAATTCAGCTGGCACTTTCCCGCTGTGAAGGTCAAAACCCTGACCCAACATCAGTTGATAACCTAACTACCGGTATCTACCGATCAAAGATGAAATGAAGGAATCAAGTCTTGGCAGTTTTACACGACAGACACTCCAGATTCTGGTTCTGATAAAGGAGACAGAGCCTGACAAGCCATTTAAGTGACAAATTCATTTGCCTCTATGATAAGTGATATATGATATTCTCATCTAGTTAACAGGCTTCTTAAACAGATACTTCACTGACCTTGTGTAAAACATTTCAGCAATGAACCAGGACAAAGCAGACAGTATTTCTCAACTTTCTTTAGCATGTTTGCCAAACGTTTTCTGTATTGCAATGGTTCCCACTGTGGCCTGTGTCACTGTATTAAATATGCAGCCAAGACTGGGGACAGCTGCTCACGGTTGCCATTTGCCATGGTATCACAACACTTTCCAGCATGCAACTGTTCCAGATGCACAACAGCCTCTCAGAGGAGTGACAGAAAGAATTCAGACACTGTTAGATCCAAAGACTCTGGATTAAATTATGAGGAAGTCTGATTTAATGTCTCAGTCTGAATCTAACCTCCACCTTAACCCAACCAGTCGTGTTGTACAATGGTTACCTACGGTGGCCGACACGGTCACAACACATGCAAAAGACACAACACATGCAAGACACAAACGCGGTATTGAACAAAACACATGCAAACGGAAAACGCTGCATTAACCAAAAAAACACATGCAAGACAGAAACGCCGGCATTAAACAAAACACATGCAAAAGGAAAACGCTGCATAAACCAAAAAACACATGCAAAAGGAAAACGCTGCATTAACCGGAAAACACAGGCAAAAGGAAAACGCTGCATAAACCAAAAAACACATGCAAAAGGAAAACGCTGCATTAACTGAAAACACATGCAAGAGAGAAAACGGAAATAGGGGGAGCCCGATCGCAATGATGGGTTCATCCCAACATTAAGGAAGTAGAAGAAGAATAAGTAGTGAATACTACCGCGAAAATTAAGAAGAATACTACGGCAAAAGAACTAGCTAAGCTAATTTAAGTTATTATAAGAAGAAAAAGAACAAGAAGAAGACCACGGGGCATTTTCAAGGTTACAGAAACGGTACGTTTTCCATTAAGTTCCTTTTTAAATAATTGCCCGTCATCTCTTACGGTACTATAAAAGAGCAACAAATGTACCTAGCTAAGGATAGTGTGCCACAGACTGTGTTTAACTCTTATTAGCTCACGTTAAACCTAGTAACTCGGGATAATAGCGTTAGCTAACTAGTGTTTCTGTATGGTAAGCAGCGTAGATAAAATGGATAAAAAGGTGCAGTGAAATAACTTTTATTGTCAATATATATAAAGTATATAACAGATTTTGTGCAAATCAGGTGTGCAAATACTCATGAAAATTAAATTCCACGTTGACTTTTGTTCTCTCCTCTACAGTGTCCTCATATTGGACACTCTTTTGATCAGCGAGGGGCAAGAGCACGATAAGAGAGGTGAAAAGGATAGCAGACACGGTATGTAAAAAGAAATGTAACACGGAGATGTCCATAAATAAGAAAGACATATCAATTATCATTGTCTGTCTTTCCAGGCTGCCATGTTTTGCCCTTTCTGTGGCCACGATCTTGGGATAGTTCAAGTGTTCTGTGGCTCATGTGGCAAAGATGTACAGGTCTTGGCACAAGCTGAAGAAAACCGTAAGTAGTCTTGATTGAATGTTTATTCCCAGAAAATGAGGGTTCAATAACCCACCCTTTTGAAGATATTAATGTGGCAAAACATGGATTCCTCCACTGAAATGTAGTTTGTTTGTTTGTCAGGGTCTGCATTCGACAGCCCCACTGAAGAGGATCTGATTAAAAAGTATTTCCATGATGGCTACAACAATGATGAAGTTTTGGATTTCCTCGTGACTAGTCACAGTGTTAACATGAGCATTCACTCTCTAAAAATTAAATTGAAAAGTTTATCACTGTACAGGTAAAAAAATGACTCTCCTCTTGCTACTGTACGTGCTGCCATCCACAAAGAGCTGAAGGGACCAGGCCAGCATTATGGCTACCGTTGGATGTGGCAGACATTGTGCCAGAAGTACTCTCTCACTGTTAGAAGGGATGATGTCATGGCTTTGATGAGAGAGCTTGATCCTTCAGGAGATGGAGATTTGTAAGAAGAGTGTACAGCTCCAATGGACCAAACCATGTCTGGCATGTCGATGGTTATGACAAGTTAAAACCATATGGTTTGGCAATTAGTGGCTGTATAGATGGCTACTCCCGCAAAGTACTGTGGTTGGTGTGT